ATCTACATAAAAATAGCATCATTCATCGAGATCTGGTAAGTTTAAAATCTTTCATAATAAAATTAAAATGATATGCATATACAGAAAATTTGAATTAATAATAATTTCAAATCTTATTATAATATTTTTAGCATTCCAAGAATATTTTAATAAACAATGGTAGAGCCTTAATTTCAGATTTAGGAATAGCAAAAGGAATAGATGCGTCTACTGCAACTTCAGGAATTAAAGGAATGCTGGCATATATTGACCCACAACGCCTTTTTCAATCTAAGGAAAGTACCAAATGTGATAATCAAGAAAATATTAACCGTGACAAGAGATCTGATATTTATAGCCTGGGTGTGCTGCTCTGGGAGCTCACAAGCGGTGTTCCTCCATTTAATAAGTATCAACAAGAAACTATATTAATAAAACTTTTAAATAAAGAAAAAGAAGGAACTATTTCCGGTACACCGAAAGGCTATGTTGATATTTACACGAAATGTTGGTCTTTTGAACCAGGACTGCGTCCAAATTTGAATGAAATTTCCGAAAATCTTCTCACCCTATCCGAAAAAACTGCTGATTTTATACTCATAAATAATTTAGATAATTTATCTGATTTTTTAGATAAGTTATTTAATGATTTTGCCGATTCAACAAACAATGGACTAGAACTTTCGCAAATTTCTAAAAGAATAAGAAATTTTATTAATGGAGAAAACCGAGAACCGCAAAATACATTTAATTCTCTATATGATAGAGAAAATAATAACAATTCGGAATGGCTATGCCTTCTTGGATTTTTTTATTTAGAAGGAATCGGAACTGAAAAAAAATCAAATAACTGCACGTGATACGTTTGAAAAAGCAAGAAATGGTAATACCAACGGAAATTTTATGGCAAAATTTTATCTCGGCGAATGTTTTAGGAATGGTTATGGGACTGAAAAAAATTCAGCAACCGCTAAATTATTGTATAAAGATATAAGGGATGAATGTGCAAGAGCAGCTAATTCTTTAGGGCTTTGTTATTTAAAAGGAATAAGATATAAAGGATATAAAGCTAAAAAAAAGGCGATTGAATATTTTGGAGAATCATACAAAAAGGGCTGTATTTCTGCATGTAATAACTTGGGAAACTGTTACCAGTTTGGAAGAGGGACCAAAAAAGACGAAAAAACAGCATTTCAATATTATTTAAAGGCCGCTGAAAATGGCATTATAGTAGCTCAATACAATACTGCAGAATGTTTTAGAAAAGGAAGAGGGACAGCAAAGAATTTAGATTCTGCAATAGAATGGTACAATAAATCAGCAGAAAATGGTCACAAGAATGCTAATAATAAACTAAATAGCATTAATAGGAGCCAAAGAATAGATCAAATTTTCTCTCAAGTTCGCGAACACATTACCCGATAGATTAACGAATTTTGTAGTACGTAGATC